AGTTGATTCCGGGGCAGCCAGGCTGCTCTGGGTGACCCTCACTGACGCGTGGAGGAGCAGGGGCGCTTTGCAGAGAATTGTTGGTTGGTTGAGGAGCCTTGCTGGCGGAGGGCATCCTTAGTTCTGAACTGAGGCTGTCGGCAAACCGCATGGAAGGCTGCTGGACTGTGAGCGTCAGCTCGGAGCTGGCCTATGCGTTCCCAACGCTGCTGGAACTCTCTGCTGAAGGTAAGGCTGTCCGGACCCCCTTCCCAAGGCATCACACGGGGCTGCTGGCTGTCCAAAGCCGCAGCTCCTGCTCTCTGCGCTTGGCTGGACGTGGCTGGGGGCTGCTGCGAGAGCCCTGCCCAAGGGTCCCGCTGGGCTCTGGGGACCACGTGGCAGCCAGGTCCCGAGAGCAGAGCTGCCCAGAGCCCCCGCTTCCTTTAGGCATGCTCAGTCCCCTGTGATAGGGCAGTCCGAGGCCAGGTTTCCCTGGCAGACGGTGTTTCCGTAGGTTGCAGCTCTGGGAGGAAAGGCATCCCGTGTCCCAGAGGCTTCCTATGTCCCCGTTTCCCCCTGGGGCTCCGAATAAGGCTGAAATCGGAGCAAAGCCCAGCTCCGGTAGCCATGGTGGTGCTTTTTTGGGGTGTGTGCGTGTGCCTGCACCGATCGCTGTCTGTGTGAGGAGCTTGCCAAGCAGCTGTGAAGAGGCTGGCTTGGAGCCTGACTTGTCTTTTCTTTCCTTTGCAGAGATTGTGGCAGTCTGGGACGCTGTGTCTGATTACATCCTGGAACAGATGAAGCTGGACAAGGTGGGCTGGTGTGCTGGTGACCCTCACCCTGGAGAGGGGTTCAGTCCTGCCGAGAGTGTGGGCCCCGCAGAGCAATCCCTCCCTGAGCACCACACTGAGCAGCACGCTGAGCCCAAGCCGGGTGCCCAGAGCGGCTTGTTGGCCAACTGGGAGGGAAAGCCAAGGCCAGAGCTGCTCTGAGCAAACGTTTGGCACACGCAGGGGCTTCGCTCTGCCCTGGTCAGAACGGGGAGAGCAAA